TCCCACTCATGTTTAGTACTTCTATGTAAACTACAGCAGATTTAGAAGGATAGCTTTTTTTTTTTTTTTTTTTTTTTTTTTTGTGAAGTAGTTCAACTATTAGAGTACCATTAAAGTGACAAAAATTCTCTTTTGCCTTAGCTAAGCTACACACCAGTATTAAAGCAATACATTCAGTGAAGCAGGGGGGAAGCCTCCCTCTTTCTCTGCAGATTCTGAAAAGAAGCATAAAGAAAGGGATTTACACACACGAGAGAAAATACTTGCTGAGAAGGATCTTTTCTGAACAATTTTTCCTCTCTCTTTCACCGAATTTTGCTTCCTAGGACCCTGAGCCTCTGTCTTATATGTAGGGTCTACATACAGCATGTCACTGAACATCAAGCTGTTGATCCCACTAAAATGGAAGTACCATTTAGGAAGCTTAATGTCATTGGACATTCTAAACTCTTTTAATGTGGCCTAAGCTCCTAATCTCAAGCATTCTCCTTCAGGAATTCAGTCTCACAATTCAGTCTTTAACTCATAGCTATGATCATACCAACAGTTACTAAATGTTTCTGTGACACCATTCATAAGCATAACACCTCATTACCTCATTTTTCAGGAGTTGCCCTGGAGAAACGCAGCATCTGTAGGTTTCTCAGTCACTCTGAGAGCAGCACAAGTGGGGCCCCTTCAAAGTGACACGTTTTGCTACTGCAGGCAACATTTCCTCAGTGGCAATACTGAAAGAAGCAGCTGCCATTGTCACCGCCTATCATCTGCTTTAACAAATAGTCGGGAACCACTGCCAGGATTAATCCCTCTCCTGACTGAAATTGATGTCGTAACATGTACAATGAGTCTTCTCCTTGAGCAGCTTTTTCTATTTATCTCTATTTTTTGCTACAGAAGCCATGTCAATGCAAGCAAGGGTTCATGTGGAAGAATGAATGTGCTCCGATTATGCATATCACATCTGACAGCCTTTCAGAGGCACTTTCTGGGTCGGCATGCTCCATTATTCTCCAAATGTCACAAAAAGGTATTTAAATCAACAGGCTGAAGAGCAGGGATTAACAAGCACAGGAACACAGACATCAGAGCACTCAGTGACATGATATTAAATACTGTAAGCCATGTCTCCACCGGTCCTCTCTGTGACAACAGTTGGGAAGCATGCAAGCAATGCTTGTTCAGGGCAGGAGATGTAGATGCCAACAGGGCCCATCCTGAACACAAACTTTTTTTATGACTATTTTCACATTGGTTCACGCTGCTGGAGCATCCATCAGCCCCTTTCCAGGCAATAGACCTCACATACAACAGCAGTGAAGCCACCGACAGCCACAGAAGGAACCCGAGGGCTCCTCAGGTCCAAGGCTGCCAATGAAGGCCTTCTACCACCAGGCACAGGAAGACATAGTGTAAACTGGTACACAGCAGCCCCATAGTTCTTCCCATTTCCTCTTGGTATTTCTCCTATGTCCCTCTCTGTTTTCTCCCATGAGCATCCCATCTTGTGCAATTTGCAGAAGAATCACAGAATCACCAAGGTTGGAAAAGACCTTCAAGATCATCTAGTCCAACCATCCACCTATCACCAACAGCACTCACTAAACCACGTCCCTCAATACAAAGTCCAAATATTCCTTGAACACCTCTAGGGTCAGTGAATCCACCACCTCCCTGAGCAGCTCCTTGACCATTCTTTCAGAAAAGTGGTATTTCCTAACGTCCAGCCTAAATCTCTCCTGGCATAGCTTGAAGCCATTCCCTCTAGTTCTAACACTAGTTACACGAAAGAAAAGGCCAACCCCCAGCTCACTACAACCTCCCTTCAGGTAGTTATAGAGAGCAATAAGGTCTCCTCTGAGCCTCCTTTTCTCCAGACTGAACAATCCCAGCTCCTTTAGCTGCTCTTCGTAAGGCCTATGCTCCAGACAGAATCATGATGTTCAGAAACATTCTTCCCTACCTCTTCCCTTGCAAACACAGTGTGTGTTTGCACTCTCCTCAAACTCATCTTAGAATCATAGAATCATTAACGTTGGAAAAGACCACTGAGCTCATCTAACCCAACAGCCAATTCATCATCCAGTAAACTGTCACTCAGTACTACGTGTGCTGAGCCCAGAGCTGTGCCTGTGCACCTTGCTTCTCTCACTATGCTTGTGACAATCCTTGAGTCTGTCTGAGTCAGCTACTGCTTTTAGTTGTTTCTGGTGAACAGCGACCGTGTTGAACTTATGCTGTCAAATAGCACCACAGCTCTCCCTCATTCTTCCACAAGTCCAAAGAGTGGATATACGCAGGATCCACCATCACCTTACCCAAAAGCTTCCTTCCAGTGTACCCTTTTTTTTTTTTAATGTACTCCCACAGAACACAAAAGCCTAAAGATCTATTACAGCAGGAGACCCATAGCAACACTTAAAAAGAAAATGGCTGTTGTTTCTCTAGCTTAAAATGCAGAATATGACTAGATTCCTGTGTACACCCAATGACTCACCCAGTTCTTGGTAAGGACTGGAAGCAATGGATAAAGGCACTCATGGAGCAATTAGAATTATCAGTGAGTAAACTGTCCAGCTGCAGCATGCAGCCTCCTCTGTGCAACAACAGGGCTCGGTTCTTCCCCATGCACTACAGACCCCATCATCCTGCATCTGGCATCTGCACTGCCTGCCACAGTAAGAGCGCTTACATTTGTTTTATTTCTAGGCATCAGGCTTGCCATTGTTAACTACTGTCACTAGTCGATTAGACACTAAGCAGTTCCAAAAATATCAGTTTGGGGTAATAATTTTCTCTCAGGTGAAATCTGGTATCTTGAAAAATAATGACACGTGTCTATGCTTATATATTTTGAAATATTAGCACCCAGAATTATTTCAGCAACAATTCTCACATCTTGCAGGGTTGAAATTAATCATTTAGAGTTCAGCCTGTTCAAAGATTTTAGTTATATATTTACTTTTTAACTGTCACACCTTTTCTCACAGCTTTGAAGATGCTGTAACTTAAAACTTCCTAAAAATGTATCAAGTGATTGATTGCTGGTACCAGCTCAGAGATTCACTCATCCAGTAATTATTTGGCAACTTTCAAATACCATTGAAGTGCCTTCATTAGAGCCTTTACCTCAACCATTGCTCAGGTAACCCATCTTCATTTTTCTAGGGAAAAAACAAACAAACAAACAAACAGACAAAAACTTTACCTGTTTTCCTGGGGGGGGGGGGGGGGGGGGGGAGGGGAGTATGGACTTAAAATGTACAGCATTACAGTAGGCAATACCTTCAGAGGATTATAAAGCTGTAATGGCATTTTGGATATTTAGCTAGGATTGGAGTTACTTGCTCTCCTTCTGTATAGGAGTGAAGAATAAAAGAAAAAAGATCTCCCTGCAGTGCTTGCTATGAATCCTCACACTGACACGTGTGTGAAGTCCTATAGTGTTTGGTCATATAAAGGAAACAGAATTAATCTTTAAATGTAGTTGTTGGGCCTTATCTAGAATCTACACTTTTCAGCAAACTAGCTAACATTCAAAGAAAGAAATAATCAAAACTCCAAGCCCAGTCTCTCTGCCTTACTGCTATGAACACATGATTTTTGGTGCACCGTAGTCTTATGTTTAGGCTGATTAATATATTTTTTTTCTTTCTTTGACAAGAAACTTCTTTGATCTCTTTTACTCAAATGTGGACTATGTGACAATGACTAGATGGTTGGATGCAGTTCTCGAGTTCCCTCTTCATTTTCAGGCAAGTTAAAACTGCAACCACGTTAAGAGTTTATGTTCTAGCAAACCTATCTACTAGGAAGTGATTTTTCAGTGTTAATCCAACAATTGTAAAATGCCATATTTTAGTACGTATATCTATATTAACAACTGCTAATGAGATATGCTTCTACTGAGAAGTCAGGATGAAAGATCCCCACAATACCACCTTCTCAACTTTATTACATACCTCAAGTTAGCAGTCCTGAGGAAAATTTATTTGCATTGATAAAGATCACTCACAACCATAGACATATCATAGAATCATTGAATCACAAGGTTGGAAATAACCTATAAGATCATCTAGTCCAACTGTCTTCTCATTACCATTGCTACCACAAGCTACTAAACCATATCTCACAGCTCCTTATCCAGATGCCTCTTGAACAGTCCAGGGACGGCGACTCCACCACCTCTCTGGGCAGCCATTCCAGTGCCTGACCACTCTCTAAGAGAAAAAGTTTTTTCTCATGTCCAACCTAAACCTCCTTTGGTACAACTTGCGGCCATTTCCCCGGATCCTGTTTTTGCCTGTGAGAAGAGGCTGAACCCCTCGTCATCACAACCTCACTTCAGGAGGTAGTAGAGAGCAAAATTGGAGAGCCCAATGTGCTTCCACACGTGCTCTGAAGATTTATGAAGACAGTGAACTTCCAAGTACTCAGGTCACCCTCAAAAGATTTATAGGTCAGGATAGTTCAGAAGAACAGTGAACTGTGGGTCTTCAGAGACTCTGTGTCTGCTCATGGAAAACAGGCATCACAAGCAAATAAATTTTATAGTTTTAAGCTTCATTCTGAGAAAACGACTGTCAGGAGTGTTGAATCAAAATGTAGAAATACAGAAAAATACCGGCAGTCCTTTGGAAAAGCTTTGAAGGTGGAATTGGTAATTTGGGTGGTTTTCAGGGTGAGCAGCTCAGAGCTGGCAGAATAGCTCCTCCTCCTCCCAGGCCACTTAAAGATAAGGTCAGGGTTGCAGCTTCACCCTTCTATAACCTTCTGGATATTAGAATAATGAGAGTTGGGTTCCCATCTCAAGGTCTGATCTGCTCCTTCTAAACATTCATAAATCAGCCTCTGGGACTGAAGCTCTTTGTCACTTAGAAAATATTTATGGGTTGGAGACATGTTTCAGGTACATGAGATATCTCAGAAAAAATTAAGCTGTTCACATAGACATAGATATTCTGCAGAAGGCAAGGTATCAAGGACTGCATAGTTTAGCTTTTCATTAGGTATTTGAATTTGAAATGTTCATTTGAAGCAGCCATGCTTTTGCAAATGTTGCCTTTGTTCTATGTTTCTTTATCATTGGATTATTCAAAAACACCATCCTTCACAGATAAGCCTAATCTGCTTTTATGTGTTGAAGCAACAGAGGTGGAGTAGTCATGAGCAGAGTTTGATTAAAATAGAAAATGGTGCCAAGTTACAGAAAAATTAAATGCAGTAGTTGATATTTTGTTTTCACTGTAATAAAAAGGCAAATGCAATTTACCAGAAATTGTTGTTCACCACAAAAAGTGTATGCTATTATGCACCAATTGACAGTGGTGAATTTAAATATTCAGTACAGTGGAGAACTGATGTAAAAATAATCCTATATTTCTCTTTCTCCTCATTCAGCAAATCAGGTGTAGTGTCTTCAACATAAATCAGAAAATACATTTCAGCACTTAAAACCGGTTTTAAGCAGTTCTCATTCTTCCTGAATTCTTTGCCTATGTCTTAGCGGAAATAAGTCACATTCTTAAGCTGCTGCAATAATCCCCAAGAAAAAAAACAGGGAAAAATTAATGGGATAAGGTACCTTATGAGTAAGATTTTGGCAACGCAAATGTAGTATCTCTGTCCTTTACGCCAGTGTTTAGATTTATAGCTGTCAAAATCAAATAAAAATAGTGGGGTTTTCTTTGTTAAAAATGTGTGTTACATTTTATAAAAAGCACATTAAAAAAAAAAAGTAATGCCAATCTGTGCAAGGAAAAAATACCTCAAACCGCAAAATAATTAAGTGTTCTCCAGTAGATTTTGGAAGAGACCTCAGGAAAGGAAGAAGGCAAAACATTCAGAGGAGTACAAAGACAGACAACCTGTCCTGTTTATAGACATAACCACCCTTTACATCTGCAGCTCCTCAGATTCCCCTTGTAGCTAGGGAAGACACACCATCTCCCTCCTGGACAGGAAGACTTGACAAAGTGGAAACATGTCAGACTTAATAACATTGGAAAAAATTGCATGGATTGGGCATGGGAGTGCTTGAAAGGAACCTTGGGGCAGCACCAATAACAACTTCTCTAATTCTTATTGACTTCTTCCCCCTGCCATGTTCCTCTCCTTCAAGCCCCTTGAGATTATACAACCCTCTGAGACATACATTATCATCCCTTTGGCCCTAGTTTTGCTCTCCTAATATTTCTTTTTTGTTACTTACTGTTTGATTATCTTGATAACACCCCCGTCCCTCCCCAAAGCAATTTGCTAACCCTCTATTTTTATTGTTTACAAGATTTGACCACTGTTCACAACATTATCTTGTTGTTGCAGCCATAAAATGAGGTTAGACTGGGAAACATGGACACTGCTTTCTCCCTGTTTTCAAGAAAGTTAATCAGTTCCTTTTATTTGTTTTGTTTGTGCAAATACATGGCCAGGGTAGGCTACTCTCTTCGTATTTTTTGCTTTTGATATCAGGAAATTCTCACACTGTGGTTCTGACCTACACAATCAGGGCAGGCTTTTTGTCTACATGCCTCAACAAAGTTGTAGTTCATCCTTTTCTACTTACAGGTCTTTCTGATCTTGTGAAAAAAAGACGAGTTACTTTTCCAAATAAATGGTATTTCACTGACATTAATCCTACTGCAGCATGGGTAAACTTGTCTCCTATCCCCAGCAGAACATGGATAATTGCAAACAATTTTAGTTTTATGGGAAGCCCAATAATGCATCTGCAAGCCCTCTTTTGCAAGAAACCTGAGAAAAAATAGACACAATTTTAAAGTTGCAAATTTAAGTATATTCAAAATAACCTGCACCTCACTGACTTGTCTTGATTTATTGAGAATTATACTCCCTTACAAGAAAACCGCATCATATTTTGGAAGTTTGTTTGTTTAGCTGTTGCTTTCTTTAAATTAATTGGTGAAATACAATTGAGAGTACATCTTAAAAATGGTCCAGAACTGATTTCCCTCTTTCTATAGCTCTTACATGTATAATGAACTTGCAGGGAAACTTACCCACTCTGGACACTATGCATTCTTTTAATGAAATAGGACTAAATAGTAAAATCAAGAACATACACAAGGATCCTTGTGCAATCTTAGAGGTATCAAGTTAAATTTAAAGATACACATCTACTATCTTGAAAGAAATACTTTTGGGGAATTTATCTTGACTAAGAAGAAGAAAAAAAAAACACTAGAAATACATAATGCTTTATATAGATGTCTGTGTGCATATGTTTGGGTGCACAGTCACGCATCTTAAAAAGGCACACAGCTCAGGGGCTTTTTGGTTACTTGATTTTAATCTGTTCCAAATTGTGGTCCTCAAATTGTGTTTCCTATAATTTCTTTCAGCCAAGCTATAACTCACTATATTTGGAAACTCTAAATCTTCCTGATCTTACTTTGGGTTTTGGATATGATTATTAAAATAGACTTCGAACCATTTTAGTAACACAACCACACGAACCAAGCCAAACTTTCAAGAGTTAAGAAAAATGTAACAGCTTAATTTTTGAAGTGGAACAGCTATAAAACCCCCATGAAGATTTGCCTTTTTTATTTCAATACAAATATCTTAGGTTTTATGACCTTATTAAAAAAAAAACCCACAAGAATTTAATTGTTCTTTTTACACTGTGTTTGTGCCCTTTACATCATATCTCCTACTACTAATAACTAATGAGGATAGTAATTACTTAACAGATGGTAAAAGTGCTTTAATTGCTTTTAAGGACTACTGAGCTTGGCTGTATTTGGGGAGCATTAACTTCTGTGACTTTTCATCTTCCTCAGCTCATTCCAAGTTTGTTCAGCCATCATTAAACATTGAAAGGACTGAGCTTTTTTCTCCAGCACCACCAAATGGGAGGCTATAACATGCGGCTGCAGTCCATTGTTATTTCAGACATATATCTTTTGTGAGGTGGCTCTTGGCATTGAGAAAGTAGTACCCTTCCCTTTTCTCCTCAGTCCTATCACCATGTCACGTTATGCAGTCCAGGGCACCCAACCTTTAGTTACCAGAGCTGCATCTCTCTCCTTTTCCACAGCAAAGAACTATCAGATCTTTAAGAGGAGGCTAGGGGAAAAAATGTAAAGCCTCAAAACTAAATGGGCTGAAGCCTCATTAACATCTTACAATGCATTTACATTATCACCTGAGTAACACAGGCAACAGAAATTTTCAAATCAGAGGAAAGAAATTCACAGTCAACACAAACACAGTGACGCTCTTTGGACTTACCTTGCTCTTCAAATAAATTGCACACTAACCACAGGAAATGCTGGCCTAATTAGTCAAGCTGCACTACAAACCACCACCAATTCTGCTGAATGCTTCTTCAGATCTAGTGTTTGTCCTTCTGGATTTGTATGTGAATTTGGACAAGGAGCTGCAGCAAAAGATTAAATAAAAAGACTCAAAAATAGCAAAGGATATGTCTAGAGACACATCATTCTATCTCGTAATTGTAGCTAAAATAAATTATATGGGTCTTGCTTTTTGCAAAATCTGAAATTATAAATAAGGAAGAGTGATTTCATCAAATTCAGGCTCAACTGCCTTCTTACTTATAACTAAGGTTACAATTAAGTCATGCATTTTTATTTGGTATAAGGAATTGTACAGCAAATATCAGATGTGCAAATTCGGGTTAAGTATGCCCAGAAGTATGATTCATTATTAAAAATAAATGTTTACATCAGATTTGTTACTTGAAATAAAATAGGTAAATAATTGGATGCGGCCCTGGGCAGACTGTGTGCTTGATGCGGTGGTTGGCAATCCTGCTAATGGCAGAGGGATTGCAACTGGATGACCTTTGAGGTCCCTTCCAACTCAAGCAATTCAATGATTATATGATTACAGACATATTATAAGGTGTAAGTCATTACGTTTTTATTTCAAGTATAAAATGTAAAGGTTTGATTGCCTTTTGGGAGGAATTCAGAGTCAGCCAGGAGTAGAGACAGACAGCAAACTCCCTCTCTCCTTTTGCTGAGTGATGACCCATTGCTCTCCATTTATTGGTGAGCATTTACAGAAGGTAGCCATTCAATGACTGTATGGGAGGCAGCAGCGTTGCCATCTCCTGCGATGTTTAGCCAGTTTTCTAATACTAAAAAACAGTTCTCGGAGTCATAAGGGACATTTTCTCATGATAAAATGCCCATTTTCAGTTTTACCAGTTCTTGGAAAGACTGAGAAAAATATAGTATAAATAATTAACAACGGGAATGCAGAATAAATCAACATTTATGGTTTTTCAATGTTTCAATATTTATCAGGGCCCAAATTCTACTTTTCAATGTTTGCCTACCATCCCGGAAAATGTTTCCTCGGGCTTTTTAGATTGATGGCACCTTTCACCAAACATTTAAATCCCCAAGCTCCAGGACTGTGACTGCAACCATTCAGCAAGACCCCAGGGCTTAGCCCAAGCAGATCTTGTCAGAGTAAGCGGTTGACTTCTGCTAATTTTCCTCCATGTACCTCTGAGTTCCTCCGAGTGCAGATATAAACTGTCCATTTATATGCACTGAATCTGAACACCTCCTCTAACACTGCAATTTTATTTTTCATTGAGAAGAAAATGATAGTTATTTGCCCAATGAAAACCCGAACATGACCTGCAACTTGCATTTTGTTCAATAATCTCCAGTACATTCGGTAAACTGCTGTTCTGAGTGTATTATGTTCAAACATAGAGAGAATAATTATAATCATCACCATAAAAAGAAGGACTTGGTAGGTATTAATTTTTTATGCACTAGGCACTTCCTTTGCAATTCTGTTGTCATCTGGCATCATTGTCCCATAAATACAGAGTGCAGCCTGAAACAGCTCTGCCTTGTTTTGTAACATGGTTCCTTAGGAGTTAGAAAGTTTAAGTGGATATAGCTGATTGTAGAGACATTAACATTTAGCACAGATATTATGATGAAAGATAAAATCTAAAAACTTTTAAAATAGAGCTGCACAGTTTAATAAATTCATAGAATCATTTGAGTTGGAAGGTAACCGTAAATGCCATCTAGTCCAACTCCCCTGCGGCAAACAGGAACACCTACAGCTACATCATTTGCTCAGTTTGGTTTAGCCTCACCCTGAGTGTCTCCAGGAACAAAATACCCACCACCTCTCTGCGCAACCTGTGCCAGTGCCTCACCACCCTTGTTGTAAAAAACTTCCTCCTTATATCCAATCTAAACTTTCCCTTTTTTAATATGAAACCATTTCCCCTTGCCCAAAAAAATTGTTTTGAACAAGGAGAATCCTTGATTATTTTACACACCAACTTAGGCTAGGCTTTACATGAGCTTGTAGAGGCTTGGGGGAAAAAAAAAAAAAAAAAAAAAAAAAAAAAAAAAAAAAAAGGAAGACTGAGATATGTGTATATGTACGTATATGCCAAATGAATAAAACCAGAAAAAATAGGAAAAAAAAAAAAAAAAAGATAAGGAATAATGACTCAACTGGGGAGACACTAGGAGGAAGACCAAGCCCTCTTTTGCCTAGTTTTTCTTTCCTGCTTCATAGCAATGGATCCTCACATGCTGCACAGGATTCCCTGCTCTAGTGAACTCTTGGATTTGGCTTGGGTTTTCCTAAACATGAACAAAACACTACAGAGCATGACAAACTGGTGTTCACAGTTACTGCGATGTTTCCAAAACTGCATGCACTACTCTTTAGAAACAGGTAAATACAGAAGCTGAGCTCTGGGCTGTTTCTGCAGAAAGGAAAGCTGTTCTTACAGTCTCCCAGCTAGTTGCAGCTGGGGTGCATCTCTCTCCCTAGCTGCCAAACCCCTCCTCCAACTCTCCCCACTTAACTATCTTCTCTTCCAGGCCAAGTCGCTCAAAAAAGCGTCCTTGCATGGAGGACTGTGCGGCAGAGATAACTGAGCCCTCCTCTGCATAGGCCAGCGGCTAAGCTGGGCTTTGGAGGGGTGAGCCAAGTCCAAATATACAGATCCAGGAAACATCCTTGCACGAAGAGCAAAGGAGAGCAGCAGTGAGGATTCCTCACAAAAATTCTCTTTTGAAATTCTCTTACTCTTTTTTTTTTTTTTTTTAAATCTCACAAATAAATATTTTTCCATTTTAATATACCACTGAATTAAGTGAAATTGCATCATGAGACACACTATTCATTAAAAAGTGAAACAGAAAATGAATCCTCTTCCCATCTGGAAAAGTGCAAAAGGTGCATTACTGGAACTTTCAGCTCCCCTCCTCAGCAATGAGCAGTGACACACTGTCCATACTTAGAAACACAGGAAACAATACATGTTCATTAGGCGTTATGTACTTTTTTCTATCTTCCTTTAGAAAAAAAAAAACAAAAACAAAACCATTACGTTCTTTCAAGTCCTCCAGAATCACTAAAAGCAACCACTTTGCAGGAGGCTTTCTAAAACTTGCAGAATTAAAACCGTGAACAGTCTATCACCTTACTTACACTACATGATTTCCAGACCCAGCAAGTACTCTAAGCTCACTCATAGCAAACCACAGATTTACTGTAATTCTGAGAGCCCCGGGTTGGAGCCATTTCAGACACAAAGCACAATCAATCATCCTGAAGCATTTCAGGCTTTTCATTCTTGATAAATGTAAAACACAGAAAGGGTAAAAAAAGAAACACCTACAGTTTAATTAAGGGCTGAAAGTCACAGGTATCTTCTGATATTTGAACAAAATTTTAAATAACAAAATTTTAAATTTTATTTGTGTGTGTTATCACACATCTTCCAGTAGAATGCTTCCATGGTTCTAAGCTAACATGTTTTTTGTCTTTATCTTATTTATTTTTATTGAAACAGTAAAATTAATACTTTTCTCACAGCCTCTAGATACTCAAGAACAAAACTATACAAAAACTCCCTTATGTTAAAACAATCACTGCAGCAAGATCTCTGAATCTGCAATTATAAAGAACATTTATATTCAGAAAGCAAAGTAAGCATGTTTGCCTTACTAAAGGTGACAGCAAATCGGTCTGGGAAAAGGGGAAAAAAAATGAGTTCAAGAAAACATTAGTAGATAACACACACTCACATCAGCCATCCTGCTACAACTGCTTAAAGCAGTGCCAGAAGTCACGTCTGAGTTAGTGGCAGAGAAGGTGAGAGGAAAATTGACCATGCTCAGCATCCTTTTACTCATCAAGCATTTTCAAAGCAAACTCTGATTTACTGTCATCCTTCCAAGGACATCAGGGAAAGGAGAGAGAAGAGAGCTCACCCTAATGAGGAGCTGATTTGCACCTGAGATCTTGGAGGGGGTGGGAAGGGAGTGGTTCTGATGCAGAAATACCAGTAAAGAGCAGATATGGTCTTTGGGGAACACATGTATCCTGATGGAGAAGGAAAAGAAATTTCAAGACTTCCACAGACCCTGAAGTATTTGTTCTGAAGTTTCTAACTCTGTTTGCATTCATCCTTCAGAGATATCTGCTTGGGCTAACGCATGCAGATCTGGTTTATCACTTCAACAGTTTAGCAGAAACTTGCTCCAGTGGCACAACAGTGATTGGAGTACAAGAATGGCTGCTCCCAATATCGGTAGAACAACTCAACGAGTGGATCAGGAAGAACTGAATTGATCTTAAGTTCTTTGGTCCATTGTCCCTTCTGGAGTCAATGCAAAGAAATATGTTCCACATCAGTTACCATGAAGCTTGCAAAGCACATCTTGTGATTTGTTCTTATGCTGCAAGGATATTTCTAGACTGCATCCAGACTCATTTCAGCTTCTTGGCTGCTTGCACAGGGGATGGAGCAGCATACCTATTTGAACAGCTTTCTGGGGAAAGAAAAGCAGGAGGGCAAAGGCGCACACAGCCATCAGCTGTCTATCAGGGACAGCAGCTGCTTAGTATTAGCTTTTGCTCTGCGCTAAGCTCAGAGCATCTGGCAGCAAGAGGGAGCAGCAAGAACACGATCCAGCTCCCACATCAGCCTGCTTCATCCAGAGATTTTGCAGGAAGGAGTAGGTGGGAAGCTGGACAGAGCCTCAAAACTCCCAGGTATCCACAAGGGAACTCATTCACTACTAACCATGTATCTGGGAATAATTTCTGTTCTGACTGGTTCAATATAGAACAAACTCTACAGGCATTTTCCATAATGTAATAGGTTTGCTTTCATAACTGATGCATCTGTGGAAAGGTATCTAGTCTGTAGAGAAGCACCAAGTGGTACTGTGAAAGTACTGCAAATGCTTGTGAACCCAAAACTCTGACAGAAGATCTGAAAAACCTTGGAAATAAACACAGCATTTACTTATTATCACAACAACCCTCATAAAGAAGAGGCCATGAAGCTTCTGCAGAATAGCAGGCTAGGCAGAAGAAAAAGGTGATGGTAGTAATGTCTGTGCTTCTTCT